AAAAAAACAAGAAAAAAATGACAATAAAACAATGACAATAAAATATTTTAATCAAATGTTTTTTTGACATCCTCAGGAAATATTATATTTACACCGAATATCTATATTTTCGTTATTACTTTTYATAAACTTGTAAGAGAATTGTTAAAATGCCTTCTTTGTAAGAGAATTCATGCAATCTTACATAAAAAAATATGCACAAATTCGGCTTTTTCTAAGTTCCAAAATTTGAATTTTGTCACGATTTTATAACTTGTGTCATAAGTAAAAGCCCGAATGATGATGTGGCTCATGTGTTTTTGACCCGTAGATCACTGGAAAAAATCGCGACTTTAAAGGTTGCAAATTTGATGGAAATATGATTTAAGTGTCCACGAAATAATGTATCATCAAATTTGCAACCTTTTAAAGTGCGCAATTTTTTCCAGTGGATATAAATAATCCAATATGGCCGCTAAACACTAAAAGCTTTATAAAAGCCAGTTTTAAAAACCTTTGCTATATGACTTTTGAGGTTATTGTTCGCGATCATCGGTTAGATGCGCATCTCGGGACATCATCTGCATCATGTCTTCTAAGTAAATTTGTCTCTTATAATAGTATCTCACATGTTAGAAAGTCTTGGGCAGTAGACTTTATTAGTGAACTGTAATTGTCTATACTCAGCCAAGCTCCTTGCTCCAGTGCGTCTCTTGTAAGAGTGCATTATATTGAGCGTCCTGTGTCAAGATTTCTTGAAATGTAATAAATTAATGTATAGTGGCAAAAATTGAAATACACGGTTTTCCACTATTTTTTTACTACTCGAGAAATGATTATCTCCGTGCGCCCATGTAATATCGTCTATTTAATAACTAAGTACTATTTGGAAAATACCAGTTAAAAATTTCAATTCCAATATATAGGCCTTGAAATGGAAAATTGGTTGTAAGTGCCTTCTCAGTAAGGATTTATCCGTTGTGTATCTCTTATTCACGCAAAAGGTGACTGATGTAATATTTAACTATTTTCCATGCACACCTGTATAAGGACTGAAAATCACGTCAATTAATGTTATAATACAACGACTGTTTAACTCCTAGTTCAACACTAAAAGCTTTAACGAAACTGATGCGTTACAAAAGATACTGCTCGCCGCAGCTGTAAGAACAGCTGTTGCTGTTCACAACACACTCATTTCCTTAAAGATCAAAGAAATTTTCGCGCTAAATCATGAATGTTTTTTATTTTTGTTTTTGGTCGATATTTTTTTATGGTACAAATTTACCGTTTAATTTACCGTTAGAAATTTACCCGCAAGCGTCATTTAAGTTTTGAAGTGCTTTCTAATAAAACAGGTGTTTTAATTAGGCTTCTTTTCACGGAAGAAGACTTCAAATAAAGACTGTTAGTGTGGAAAGGACTTATTGCGGACTGAATTCAGAAAAATCATTTAAATCACTATGAGAAAAACAAGATTCTTCAAACTGGCAATACTGGTTGTTCCTCCGGGAGCACTAATTTGTTTTTATTTGGCCAATGGTAAGTACAACTTTCTCAGTGCGGTCAGCATGACATGCACCGCCGGCAAATTCAATACTTTCCATCTTTGCCCCTGGTTTTATAAATGCCAGAATCAAAAGCGAAGCTTTAGCTAAGTCACAACATTTTCACGTGTTCACAATAGATGAAGAAAATTGCTGAGCAAGCTAAAAAAGGGAAAAGCTGTATTCGTCTTTGTCATGCCTATTCAGGAATTATCGTCGAAGGGGTCAAGAGAACTTTTCATAAAATAACCAAAAGACAAAATCGTTATGAAAACTGTGGATACAGTGCCTAAATAGCATTCGACAGAAATAGAGAATCTAACTGAAAACAGGCGAATTTTTTAGTGCATTTGTAGTAAACGCTTTGCAGCCAAAATATGATTATCAAAGCCAAAGTTTTAACGCTATTACTTAATTGCACAGCAATTTTCTACATGTTGTGAAAATGTTGTAGCCTAGCCAAAGCCGCCTCGCTTTGTTCTGTAGAATCAATTGCTTGGCTGGTTAAGTAAGAGTTAGTTACCGAGAACGGAGGCATTACGCTATATACAGCCCGAGGGCCGCAGGCCCGAGGGCTGTATATAGCGTAATGCCGACGTGCGAGGTAACTAACAAACTTAGTTTTCAATTCACGTGGTTTTCGCAAAAACTGAATAGNGATGTCCGAATCGTGTATCCTCTCAAATGAACAACCACAGATTAAAGGTCAGGACTGTTCAAATGAACGAGTCCTAGTGTTATCATTATAATTTTATTTTCATAGCACTATTTGCTAAACTATTTTAGGTGGGTTGAAGGGAACCGACTTTCATTCTTTCTAAATACACTTGTTATATACACCTACTTGCAGAAACATTGTCATAGAAATACAACATTCGAATTTAGTAAAAAGGAATAAATTAAAACAAAASAAAAGAAAGCGTTCAGCCTCAGTGATCTTCTTTTGTCTTTTTAATTTATTCCTTTTTACTAAAATACAAATGTCCTATTTTTTATGACAACGTTTTCGCAAGTAGTTGTATATTAAATACACCTACTTGCGAAAACGTTGTCATAGAAAATAGGACATTTGTATTTAGTCAAAAAGGAATAAATTAAAAAAGACAAAAGAAGATYACYGAGGSTKAACGCTYTCTTTTGTCTTGTTTTAATTTATTCCTTTTTACTAAATTCAAATGTTCTATTTTMTATGACAACGTTTCTGCAAGTAGGTGTATATGGTAGAGCTACATGTGACAAGCATACAGCTCTCCTTCACAAACTAATAGAAGCATCTATTTTTAACAAAAGAGTAGTGGAATGGAGGGCATTAGTCTGTGATGCTGAATCTTCACAAAACAAGTAGCCACCAGAGAACGCAGTTTGAGAGCGACAATCACAGCAAATTCCCGGGATTTCAACTGCTCTTCTGTTTTTTTGTTTGTTTTTTTTTTTGTCTTTTTTTTTTTACACAACAACAACATTTTCTGAAACAACGGTCTCTCTCATGGACTAATAGTAACCCTCTGAGGCGAGCAGTATCGTTTCACGTGGTCGACAAATGAGGAAAATCTGTTTGTTAGATTTAATAAGCGAAYAAGGGACCCTAAGAAATCCCAATTTAGCTAATACCGCAGGGGGGGGGGGTACTCCCCTACATTCGATATACGGGGACGTGCCGCCAACCAGGGTATCGTTTTCAGCGATTTTACTCTGGAAGTGGGTATCGTTTTTAGCGATCTTACTCTG